AACAAAACAAAGGCCTTTATACGGTAAATCGTTGGAGCAAAGCATAAAAAAAATCTACAAAACTCTTCGATGTGTTATGTTATCTCAACAAATTTTGAAGTTAAGAAAAAACAGATGAATTCCATTTTATCTATGTAAATTTAAATGATAACAAATGAGAATTTCTAGAAAGTTTAAGTGATATTGGGCTATATCTTAGTCTATTAGGCTTGTGTAAATCAAGTTAGGGTTACGTAGATTCCACTTGTATTTTTTTTTTTGTCAACACCATGATATGTTGTATATATATGTTTGTGTAACACGTTCGACATCAATCAAAAAACATATACTCTTATTTCTACATGGTATCAATGGGTAAAATTCAATCAAATAATAATATACTAATACGAAAATTCACGAAAAATGTTATATAACAATTTTCGTTGATACAAAAAGTTTATAGTACATTAAGCTATATTATTTATGTGATTATGTAAAATACAAAAGAAGATAGAATACAACCATTTCGACAAGTCAAGGATTCTCTTCTGTGTTAGACTAATTAGAAATAAAACATTGTATTTGACTTGGTCAGTATGACAAAGTCTTCTAGTTGCAAGTTTTAAGTTTTAGCTGCGAATTTTTTGGGATTTATTTAGATTTTATCTTCCTAGAATAATGGCAGATTAGTTCTCTTGTATAAGCCTATATAAAGACCTTTGATCAGTTAAATAAAGTATCCAGATTTTCCACTACACTTCTTTTGTTTTACATTCTGTTCTTTCTTTAGTTACATATATAATCACACAACTTGAAGAAAATAATTTTCACTACAAAGTCAAACATCGAGAATGATTCTCTAATTTTGTTTCTTTAGTGCAACTTGAAAAAGTTAATCTAAATATGAGCTTTCACTTAAAAAGAAAGTATTTGTTACCAAAGACCATATAGATTCATGCATAAATTAACCTTGGGCAAGAGCTAAAGCCAACCACCTATTAATCCTTCTAATCGCAACTAATCTCCATCTAATCAAGCTTTAATTTTTTTATAGAAAATGCCTCTTGAAGAGATTATCGCAGGGGCAGCCCTTGGTCTTGCTCTCCAAATCCTTCACGAAGCCATCCAAAGAGCAAAAGATAGATCATTTACCACAAGATGTATCTTGGACCTTCTCGATGCTACAATCTCTAAGATCACTCCATTGGTCGTTAAGATCGAGATGCTCAGCGAAGAAGTCCATGAATCTCTGAGGAAAGTCATCAAAGATCTTAAACAACGTCTCGAGAAAGCCATTGGTCTCGTTGAAGCTTACGCGGAGCTAAAACGCAGAAACTTGCTCAGGAAATACAGGTTTGTGAAATGTTGCCGATCATTTACATAAAATAATAGAATTCTATCTAGCTAAGATTAAACATTTCTATCCGCAATGTAATGCAATCTCCCAACATGTTACCTTATCAAAATCTATAATTTGTAATGTAACAACATGCGAAACTTTATGTTTTTGTGAATCTTTTATTTAGGTACAAGAGAAGAATCAAAGTGTTAGAAGCTTCATTTAGATGGATGGTAGATGTGGATGTTCAAGTCAGTCAATGGCTAGATATCAAAGAACTTATGGGTAAGATGTCTGATATGAACATGAAACTTGATAAATTACGCGTCAAGCAATAGATTTTCAGAATATAGTCCAAGCACCCGATCGATCTTCTGAGGAAGACGGATCCTCTAAACCAAAGATTGATGTACACCTTCGATGGAGAAAACGGTCCGAAGAGCACGAGATCCGACTAGTCGTGAATTGATTGTTAATGTGACGACTTTGGTGTCCTAGGCCAAGAAAAACA